TATTATTATATTATAATACACTCAAGAAGTTTTAATATTTGCTCAGCCCTTAACAAGGTCTAGCTGTTTCAATCAGAGCAAATGTGACCTATTGGTGGCTAAGAAATACTGAAGAAAAAATAACCAAAGAGGCCAACTGAAGCAGCACATCAACAGTTAAAAGTGAAAACCAAAAACTCAGTTCCTTAGCAACTTACAAGTGTTTTAAAAATTGTTTTCCCTAAGGACACATGTTTCAGTGGCCTCTAAATTTCAAAATGAAAATCTCCAGAGACACACAAATACTTGTGACTTTTCCCCCTTATGTCTATAAGCTGAATTTTAAAAGCACAATGAATACCGAAGTAAAACCTACTTTAAGTACAAATTACACTGCTCTGAAATCTGCAGGAAAATTATCACAAAATGATTGGTTAGTGTGTGTATAGTTAGCAAATTACTTTTTTAAAGTTAAGGACATGGATAAATATTATTGTCAAACAAACTGAGATAAAGTTGTGTCTCTGCCCTTTATCGAGGTGTTTGATCCTGGGCAAGTTATTCAACTCTCTGTGCCTCACAGATTCCTTATCCATGAAATGGAGATCATAATAATGATACCAAGTTCATAGAGCTATAAATAATGATAATAACAAACCTGTGTTATTCACTTAACTATGTGCCAAACAGTGTTCTAAATATTCTGCCAGTAAGTTACTTAACAATGTGTCTGGAGCATTCTAAGCCATCCATACTGGCTTTTCAGAATTAGCATTATTACTACAGAAGGGCTGGCAGGCACATCAAAAAAATTTGAGGCCAACTAGAAATTGTACACAGGCATAGAGAATATCTTAGTGAAAGACCAGGTAGGTGAGGCATCTTTAGTGGTAACATTGGGGAGTTCTGGGGGTTTGCTAAGTAGAAGAGTGATTAGGACCAAATGAGGTGAATTTGGAGAGGTATTTTTTTTTTTTTTTGGTACCAGGGATTGAACTCAGGGGCACTTGGCCACTGGAGTCCTATTTTGTATTTTATTTAGAGACAGAGTCTCACTGAGTTGCTTAACTCGCTTTTGCTTAGGCTGGCTTTGAACTGGCAATCCTCCTGCCTCAGCCTCCTGAGCCACTGGGATTACAAGTGTGTGCCACCACACCTAGCCTGGAGAGAGATGGAATTTTAGAAGCTGGAAAAATATTGGAATGGTTTAGAGTGGCAGTTCTAAAGAATTTAAGGAACTCTAAATAAGAAATGAAATGAAAGCCCAGAAGTGCAGGAATAGGGGATACTGTGAGCAGAGTCCATGAAGCCCAGGCTGCCTACCCTCCCCTCCCACTGTAAGTTTCACAGTGTTTACCCAAGGTTCACAACAGTTTTGTTTTCAACAAGCAGCAAGGCTACCAGATAGAAAGTCAGTTTAAAGATTTTCTTTTGTTCTTAATATATTTTAAAATTATTAACTGGTAGATAATAATTGCACATATTTATGGGGTAACAGTGTGATACACAATATTTAATGATCAGATCAAGGTAATTGGCATATCAGTTACCTAAAAAGCAAATTATTATTTTTTGTGTTTTGAATATTCAAAATCTTCTCTAATAGATATGCAAGTATTTATGGTCAATCATATTTATTCTACTGTGCTATAGAACATTAGAAGAGATTCTTTGTTTCTAACTGAACCCTTGTGCATGATAACCATTATTTGTCCATCTCCTCATCTCCCTACACTTCTCAGGCTTTGGTAATCACTGTATAACCTCTACTTCTATGAGTCAACTTTTTTAGCTTCCAGGTATAGGTGTAAGTGAGAAGTTGTGGTATTTGTTTTTCTGAACTTGACTTCACTTAATGTAATGTCCTTCAGGCTCATCCATGTTGTCACAAATGACAGGATTCCATTTCTCAGTGTCTAAAAAATATTCAAGTGTGTGCTTATGTGTGTATGTGTGTGTGTGTGTGTGTGTGTGCGTTCGCGAGCGTGCGCACATACTTATGCCCAGGAGTTCATCAGGAATGTGAAGGTATGTCCAGGATTTTAGTAAGCCTTTTGTTGCTGTGACCAAAAGACCCAACAAGAACAATTTGAGAGGAGTAAAAGTTTATTTGGGGTCTAAATTCATACATAGTCAGCTCTATTGCTGTGGTCCTGAGATGAGGCAGTCAAGTTGTGGAAGTGCATGGTGGAGAAAAGCAGCTCAGGACATGACAATCAGGAAGCAGAGATAGATGGATAGATAGATAGATAGAGTGAGCAAGTGAGCTGTGCTTACCAGGGACAAAATATAAACTACAAAAGGACTCCCTCAGTGACCTATGTCCTCCAGTCATATTCTACCTATCTAGAGTTACACCTGGTTAATCCATATCAGTGGATTAACTCACTGATTGGGTTACAAAATGATCTAATCATTCACCTAGGAACCATTCTGCATTCTCTTACATAGGAGCTTTTCAAGGGATGCTTCATATCCAAACCATAATACCAGGTATGCCCAGAGATCACTGTACATTGTTAAATAGTATTTGCAACTGTCCAAGATTCTAAGACCAAAAACTTAATGGATGAAGTCACTAGGCATTTAATTTGTTTTCTGAAATAACATTTTTAAGGGAGTGATGATCTATTTCTTGTGTGTTTTGGAACCAAACTTCTTATATTCTTGCTATAAAAGTTGAATTCCTTCACTATTTCCCAATTTTAGTGTTTTGAAGGGCATGATCTGTCCATATTTTAGAAAGAGAAAAAGATCCTGAGAATTCAGTTATGAAGGAGGGAAGAAAATTAACATAATGGAAAAGTTCAGGAGATAATGATCTTAGCACTACTTTTGACTCCTGAGTCTTTCCATCTTGCTATCCCTTTTGAGACAATCTGATGAATTTGGAAATATAGACTTTAGAAAATATCATCCAAAGTCTAGAAATCAACAGAAGTTCTCACTTGAGAAGTTGGATTTCCCTGGGATGATATAGGTAAAAGATGTACACCTATACACAACACACACACACACACAAACACACACACACACACACACATACAAACACTCACACACATACTCTCACATACACACACTATTTATTAGGGTAGCTCACAGAATTATAGGAAGAACCGAACAACTGAGGAAAGCAACAACAAAAACATTGCTACACTCAAGTAAACTGAATCCTCAAAACTCTCCATTTCTCCCAGCATTTCAGTTCCTTTTCTCTTACTAGTTTTTATCCACGTGATCAGGGATCTGGCCATTAGACTATTCTAAGATCACATCTTTGCAATTTGACTATCCAAGATATCCTTCAACAAACTTCCAGGGAAGACCTGGCTAATCAGTGAGGCCAAGTTGATGGGGTCTCTTGATGGTTTTTGAAAAGCTAAAACCTATGTTGAAATTAGTCATATGCCCA